GCTTCTATGGCAAGCAATCGCATTTGCCGTGACGTCTGAAGGTAAAAGCTCTGGAGGAAATAAAGGAAGATGGCGAAAAGGGGTATTGCCACTCCGAGATAGCGGATAAAGATAGCGAGAATGACGACTTTGGCTACGCATGAAACCGCCGCTGAGGCAGTCTGTCAGTTGTGTCAATACAGGTGGTCAGAGAGTGAACTTACTGGAGGTGTAATTAACCATGTTGCTGGGAAGCTCCATGTCTATGAGTTCCATATCTCTGCTGAACCTAGATGAATCATTGTTAGTGCTTGCACTGCTGAGCAGCAGACCGCTAAAAAGGCATACCTATTCAGGACCTCTCCAATGTCCCTCGTCGACTTAGAATAGAAGGGGGCCCTAATTATGCTCATCAGTATACCAGGGCCAGCATTATTTGCACTCGTTGACATACATGAGTGTTGCTTGCAAAAGATTTGAGTGCAGCCGAGCAGCCGAGCGTGAGATGATGGATATGAAGGCGGCCCTGTTGTGGTGCGTATGAGTTAATGGTTCTCATAACAGCAACTGAGGAAATGGCATGTATTACCAAGCGCATATGCAGCCGCTCAACGTGCCCAGAATACCGAGAGAGGCGTAGACGCCAAGGTATATCCAGATATCCTTGTCTGGTTCTGCAGCATTCGCGGCAGACCACCATTTCATCCAGACGGCTAGTGATCAGTTAGAATCATCATTGCTGGCCAATGAAAACGAATATTGGGCGACTTACTCGAGAATTCGATGCAAAAGATCCAGCCTACAACACCAACACCATACACGATAACGGACCACCAGCCAGCGTTGGCAAGGTAGTATGCATAAACAGACAGCTCGCCCCTTTTACGTCGTATATCCGTATGTCTACCATCCGTCTCCTCAGAGATGGCGGTGGCCGTGTCGGCAGCCATACCGAAAACTTCTTCCGTCGTTGGCATTTTTGACGGCTCGGCGGTTTCAGCGGCATCTTCATTGTTGATGAGCTGCAAGCCAAGTTGATTGACAAGGTCGCTTTGAATTAGAGACGCAGGAGGTTCCTTAGCTGTGATTGTCCCGTCTTTCAGGACGATAACTATGTCCGCAAGTGCCATGAGTTTGACTGAAAACAGTCTTGTGAGTAATTTGAAAGCCTAATCAGGGAATATTGTTACCCACGGTGGTGAGTGATCAGAATGACGGTTGCTCGTTGCCTGCGCAGAAGGCCTACACGACTGAGCAAGCGGGAGGAGATGACGTCGATAGTATGGGCATCCATGCTGCTGAACACATCATCCAGAAGTACAATTGGCTTTCTTGCGTAGATGGCTCGAGCGAGGGCCTATATCAAAGTCAATGTCGTGTGTGAAGCACGAGGTGAAATGATGCAACTAACTATTCGATGCTTTTGTCCACCACTGAGGTTGAGGCCCCTGCTGCCAATGTTCGTTTTGTCTCCTCTATGAAGACGTTTCAGATCGGCGTCAAGGCCGCAAGAAGTGACGACCTCGTCATACCATTTCTTCTCATAGGGCGAGGAGCTAAGTATGTTGTTGCGAATAGTGGTGTTCTCTAGCCAGGGCTGCTGAGAGCAGTATGCCACATGCTTGCAATATCGCCGCCCTACCTCCTGTTGGCCTCCTGGCGATGAGACGTCGATCATTTCACCTAGAATGCTATTCAAAAGTGACGACTTGCCGCTTCCCACTGGGCCGGTTATTGCTGTAATGGTTTCCTGGCTTATATCAAGATGCAGGTCCTTGAGTATCAGGGGACCATTTCTGCTCCATTTGAGGCCCTGGCTGTGTATAGAGACAGTGTTATCGTGAGGAGCTTCAAGGAGCTCCGAAGGTCTACCAGGTGCCAGCAGGTGGACTTCAGATTCGTCTCGCAAGTCGACGTGGCCCGGCTCATAGTAGCTTTCGTCTTTAAAGTCAACATCTGCGTAGTTGCAATATTGTTGGATGCGCTCGAAGCTGCCGACGCATTGCACAAC